TTGATGTCTGTCATAGATAACCAAGAAAAAGAATTAGTTTTACTTTACGTCTGGCATAGATCCTTTGCATTAAGAATAAACATGCAATATAATGCACACGCTTCTGAAATACTACATAGGCTGTGGTTTTGTTCACAAAATTTAGAGTAACAACAGTAACAACCATTAACTTTTACAGCGATTCGAAACACATTTAGGATAATCCTTAATGCATAATAACAGCAATTGTGTTAATTCTATTTAACTTTATTATAACTGTTGTGTATTAATTTTTTACCGTTACTACCTCTTTAGTATAAAAAGAACTTCTGAAATGTTCGTGGTTTTTTTAAACCCTTCCAATCTTTTAGTCCCAATTTTTGTTTCTCTGTGTAGAGCGAGGACACTGGTGTCTCTCTGCCTTTGCACTTGTAATATATTTTATTAGGCTTTTTTTTTTTTAGGTTTTGGACTTTAGAATACATATATATATATTATATTACATACATTATTTATTTATTTATTTATTATTTATATATTTATATATACATTATATATATATATTCTATGTATATGAAAATGAAAAGCCGTAACGTAAATTTTCTTTATGTTTTTCTATTGATCTCGACAGTATGGATACAACTCGTACCTGCTTGTAAGTTATCATCAATTAATTAAAATCATTCAATAAGAATCAAAATCTTAAACGATCCTAATGATCATCATAATTTTTTTTAATAAATAGCCAAATTAATTCGTAATGGTCAATCCTGTCTCCAACATCCGGATACTGCATCAACTTCTTGCGTCCCACTTTCCCAAACATCATGTCCCGTTAACAGATTCATTGATGTTCCAAAATCAATTAAATGGAATATTATACCAATTGATCCATCTATAGCATTAGATTCAACAAATTCAACCGAAATTTTTATTGAATCATCTGATAATAAACTTTGTCTTGCCACTTCATCAAATGGTGTGCAGGTTTGTCCGTGCGATCAAAGTATTACACAAAAATGGAAATTCAGTAATAATAATTTAATGAGTAGTGCTAAAGTTGGTCAATGTTTGGCTGTTCTTGGAAATCAATTTGGTTTAAATACTTGTCAAGCTGGTGCTGATACTATGTCTTGGAAACCTTATCATGTCGCTCCAAGTATGTACTATACTGTTATATAAATTTATTTATACATAATTAATATAATTCAAAGCCTTATTATTATTATATATATATTTTTACTTATTCTTTTTTTTTTTTTAATTTTTAAAGACGCCGTTAACTTTTATCCAAGTACATTGTTCTTGGGTAATTATACTCAATTAACAGTAGACACTTATACATCTCAAAAACTTCCTCCTTCCATGTTTTCATCTCCATTTTCTATCGAAATTCCTCCCGGCTTCCAATTCATTGTTGATCGTGGAAATAATAATACAATAACTTATACTTCCGATATGGCTAATGTTTCTCCTATCAATGATAAAACTGCTACTATAATGGTCAAATTAAAATCTGGAATGATTATTTACGAACTTGCAAATTATTTTGGTCCAAGTGAACATTTTGATGTTGGAACTTTTGTTTCTACTTCAAAAACTGTTGGTTCTGTTATGATACCTTCAAATTCGAGAGCTATTTCGAATTTTTCGGGAAATAATTTAGGTTTATTTGAACCAATTCATAGTTTTACCGGTGTTTTAGTTGATTCTAGTCAAGTTTCTTTTGTAAGTTTGGATATTTCTCAAGCTACATGTAAAAATGAGTGTTCTTCTGGTGGTTTTTGTTCAGTTAACAATGTATGCGTTTGTAAACCTGGATTCACCGGCTCACAATGTGATCAATGTGCTCCTGGTTTCTGGGGTCCAAATTGTCAAGGTAAATTTAATATTTAAAACTCAAACTTGATCTAAATATAAATTTAAACATAATTTCTTATTAAACTTGATTTCTTTTGATTTTATTTATAATATTTTTTTTATAGCATGCTCATTGACTTGTAAAGGCACAACAAATAATAGTCAAATGACTTGTGACGATGGGTTATTTGGAACTGGTAAATGTAAATGTGCTACTGGATTTAATGGACCGAACTGTAATACTTGTGATTCCGGATTCTTTGGTCCAAACTGTACACGTAAGTTTTTTTAAAAAAAAAATTTTTTTTTTTTTATTGTAAAAAATTAATAACAATTCGCGTTAATATTTTAAATATTTTAATATATTAAAGCATGTGATTGCGGAAATGGCGTATGTGACAGTCAAGGCAAATGTACTTGTAATGCAGGTTGGGATCCAAATACCAATTGTAAAGTTCCAAAAACGGGTTACTTCCAATCGGGTAGCGATGCCAAGGCGTGCCCAATAGGGTGTGCAAAATGTGATTCTCAGACCGGAAAATGTACAGAATGTTTAGCCGGTCTAAACTTTGCTACTGATAATCCAAATCAATGTGTTCCTCAATCCCCTGTTAATTGTCCTGACGGTCAATTTCCTGATACAAAAAATGGAAATACTTGTACACCTTGTAATCCTGATTGTGTTACTTGTTTTGGTCCTGGACCTGATAATTGTTTGAAATGTGCTCCACCAAGATTTTATTTGGAAGGAAAATGTGTTATTCCTGCGCCAAACGGAAAATGTGTTTCTCCACTTGGCAATCAGGCGTTCGTTGCTAATGATGCTCAAAGAATTTGTGATGGTAAGTTTTTTTTTTATTGGTAGAATTTACGTATCATCTAAATCTTACTAGGTGTGATCATGACTTAAGTCAATCAGAGTTAACTCAATTCTGATTGATTCAAGCCAGGAGTATACATGGGTGTCTAAATTACTTTTCTTAATAATTGTCGTGGCTGAAGCTGGAAATGGCTGAAGCTGGAAATTTTAAATATTTTAATATGAAATTTACAAAAA